AGTATCACCTCTTCTGGGAAGCCTTCCCTAACTACTCTAAGATGTTGACTTCCTCTTTTCTGCATCATTTTCCCTGCATCAAGAACCTTTGTATGTCTTAATATATTGATGTATAAATAAATACTTTTGCCTCTGATAGCATCTAGTTATAAGAATCTCTGCTACCTCAGTGGTAATCAATGCATGCTCTTGACTGAGGAACAGAAAAAGGACAGAAGGAAAAAGGGATGGAACAGGAAAAGGGCAGAGCAGATCATGGGGGGTGGACAATGGCAAGTTGGATGGGTTTGTATCTGGACGTTGTCAGACCTGGCCTGGCTCCCGGTCCCTGCATCTCATTTCCTCTCTTCCTAATATCTGAGCCCCTGATCTCCTCCAACAGCTTAGCCACCTGCAGGGCCCAGGATTAATCCTACCTGAGGTAGTCTAGATATAAGCCTTATTTTCTACGGTTTAGCATCACATCTCTTCCTGCAGCTCTGCTCCTAAAACTGAGTCCCTGCTGACAAACAAGGCTGGAGCTGCTGCATTTCCCTTGCCAGGCTGCTTTCTCTCAGAGTGAGAGACGGTTGCTACTACTCAGGCTCATGTCCAGGACCCCTCCACCTGCTGAACATAGCCACTCGTTAACTCGCTGCTAGACATGTTCGACTGAGTCCCCTAAGGAGCAACACCCTACACCCTTCCTGCTTTAACTGGCCTTGGTCCGTCACTGCTGACCATGATCCTAGACTCCTCCCAGCATGCCCAAAGCCTGGCCAGATCTCAAGGTTTAACAAGAGTGAGACACAGGACTTTGACAATGGAGTGATAGATGCCAGGGGAAAACCATTGTTATGAGTGGAGGGAAAATGAGAGGGCACCCCACTCTGACTGTGAATGTTGAAGACATAATGTATGAAAGCATTCCTGCTTGAACACACTTAAAAAGCCCTTTAATCACATGGCTTCTAATGTTAGGAGTTCTTGGTAGCAACGTAAGATTTTTTTTTAAAGAGTATTTTTCAGGGTATCTGTTCTGCTTTTTAAAGAAGGAATCTGAAGCTGATGCCCATTCTATTGATGTTAAAGTATCATTTTAATCCAAAAGATCCACACAAGGAAAAACCTTAGAACCTATAAGAACATGGGGAATTATAATTGCTCAGATAATTAAGCCAAACAGGGGCCATGACTAGTCACAGGGAAAGGGTTGTGTTTACTGACTAATTAATCAATACTGACATATAGTAGTTACTGAATTAGTACTTTTTGAGTGAATGAATGAGTGAAAGAATGGACATATGCTCATCTGTATATCTGTTTGTAGAAATAGGTGATGGGTGGGTGGATGTATCTATGGAATGACACCAAATAGTTTTATGATTTCACTCCTTTTAAACATTCATTTCGGTACCACACATAAACTACCTTAATATATAAATGGACATTAATAATAAAAAAGTATTAGGAATTCTCTCTGCAAATAGAATTGTCCAAATAGGAAATGAGAGAGTTCAGAGGAGCAGTTACTAACCCAGGCCACTGAACCTTGTCAATCTTTGGGCAAAAGAGGCACAAGGAGAGCAAGAAGCATAGGGAGGTGGAGAAGGCCATAATATATGCTATGTTCTCATTCTAGAAAAATCTCTTTCCCATGCATTCCATCTGGGCTGTTTATTTAGTAGTAATTGCTTCTAACACTTAGAATTTTTAAAATTAACCTGCCAAAGGATCACCTCAAAGATATGGTATAGAATGCGTGTGTGTGTTTGTGTGTGTGTGTGTGTGTGTGTGTGTGTGTGTGTGTGTGTGTGTGTGTGATTAAAACAGTAGTCCTACAAAGTTATGTATATAAAAAGCCAACCTTAAATTGCTGCTCTGTCAGGAAATACCACTTTAAAATGTCTAACATTATGCCTCAGGCTTCAGCACTCAGGAGCTTTGGCAGACGGGAGAGGAAGCAAATCCCATAAACAATGTCTCTGCCTTTAACATATCTAGGAAATGTAGACGGTGATGATCCAATTTACCAAGAGTTTCAACGGAAATGACTGTGTGTCCATGACCCATCACCTGTGTTCATTATGATGAACTGTAGTCAATGACCCAGTTCCTAGAGAGAGTGACCTCTGGTCTAAAGAGGAAAATGCACACCACTGTGAAGTGATTCTTTCACTTTAAAAGAGGATGATCATGGCCATTTTAAAAACAAATCTCCTTTTAGGAGACCTCTCTTCTTGGTTATAAGCACTCAAAAAAGAACAAAAAAAAATGCTAAGATTCTGCATACACTGATTTTTATCTAAATTTCAAATATTACTTATAGAATTTGGGAGAAGCCCTCCTGAGAAACTGAAAAAAAAATGGTACTAAAATTACTGTTATTTTTTATGTGGTATTAAATTTTCTTATTCAAATTGTTTAGTCAATCAGAGAACCTTTCCCTTTAAATGCTTCTAAAGGTATATTAATTCAAGTAAATAAAATGATTCTTTGATTAAATCCAAGAGAATAATCAATTCAATTGCTTCTTATTGGATTATTAGGTGTTACTTTACAAGTATCACTGACATTATTTAAAAGATTTATCATAGAATCACAGAAGGCTAAAAATATTCCTTAAACTTAATTTTTAAATGCAGCTTTCTGGAAATCAGACATGTACTTTAGAGCAATCTTGACATCTCTGGAAGTGCATAAATGAATTTAAACCTGTAAATGACCTACTTCAATGAAAGAAATTACAGCCATCTTAAATACTTGTAATTTATCTTTATAATGATGCTGAGTCACTAATTTTAGGATTCAGAAATTAGAAATTATAGTGAATAACTGCTTTTAGTAAAATTATCCATCTAGAGGAGGACAGTAAAATATATACTCCAGGTAGACAGAAAACTGAGTTTGCTTCAAACTGAACATCTTGCCATTACTGAAAATCCACAGTGTGTCCTGTCACACAGCTCAGAGGAACCCTAGAGAAACCCAGGGAATTCCCTGGAGATAACACACCAACTCTGTGTAGGCATATGGAAAGAAAGTGGCTTGACAAGACTTCCTGAACAGTAGCCTGCATTCCCATTATGGCAGGGACTTCTCAGTGCCTTCCAAAACCTGCACTCTCTCCTCCTCAGAAAACACAATGTTACTTTTTTGGTCCACACAGTATTTCCTGGAATACAGCTACATCTATCAATGAATGAACATTTGATCAAGTTCAAGGATAATATGGGATTTCAGGAAAAAGCTGCTTAAAGAAAACTGACTCATCTTTTGGGTGCCACCTTTTTTTATTTTTTGCCTTTCTTACTCTTCCAGACCCCCTTATTACGACAGCTAGAGCTCTAGCAGTCAGCTTGGGCCCTGGGCAACAAGCACTAGGAAGGAAGAGCAGAACAGTAAGAGCTTGAGTGCTTGAAGACACCAAGGAATGGCCACACAGACAGTGTAACCTTCATCTAGATGACTTACACAGGAGACAGAAGCACACTTCTCTCTCCTGTAAGCACACTTCTCTCTCCTTTATTTGGGTTTTTCTGTCATGGGATGCTAAAGTGATTTAATTAACAATCAGTCAAATAATTTTTTAAAAGCAGCCAAGAACAATAAATAAACTGCCTAGCTAACTTGTCTGTTGTTTTAACTTGATAAGTTCATTTATGTAGCCTTAATTCTCAATTTTAACTTAATTTTATCCTATTTTACACTATTAGTCAAATTCGTTAAAATATTAATATCTTCTAAGAAAATCAGCACTATTGACAGTTTATTTTAATAATATTTTCTTAACATATTATAAGAGACCTAGAGATAAAATTTACTGGGAACCCAACTTCTAATGAAAATCTTCCCCTCTAAGTCCCCAAAAATCCAAAAACAAAAGGAAAAAGTACAGTGAGAAATCCTGTAGATTTATGTTTTCTAAAGTAATTTAGGGAAGAAGAAAAGAAATACTCTGCCTTAGGATATGCATTGCTGTGATAATATGAAGAGTACTTTCTCATTTAAAATGTTTTCTATTATTCCTATTTCCAAGATTCTGTTTTTAAACATGCATTGATTCTTCCATAGAACAATGGTTAAAATTTTCACTTCCATATAAAATTTATGCTGAAAACTACAGAAGGCCAGAGAAATTTTGAAAGCCTAAAGCTTTATACTTCATATTTACTTCAACTAAGTACATGAAAAGAGGTTGCAGGAGCAGGAGAGGGAGGGAGGGAGAAAGAATGAGAGAGAAAAAAAATGTAATATGTCTTAAATGAAAAGGACCCTATTACACTGTATTTTTTTTTCTTTCCTACAATAGTTATATGGACTGGTGCTAGGAAAACTTTTATCTTTCAACCTCAAAGTAAAATAATTTTCACATGGTTTTAAATATTAAATATTTTTAAATATGCACAAGATTTTATTACTTTAAAAAAAATTCCTAAAACAGAAATCTCTCTTCTTCATCTCATTTTGATCTCTCTTTCTCCTCTAAATAGGCCAAAAGAAAGAGCAAAGTTCTAATACTGATTTCTTTTTTATTTTTCACAATAAGTGGCTGATACATTAAGCTCTCAGGCTACAAAGTCATATTTTTTAAAAGCTATTATAATGAAAAAAGCTCAAACCCGTAAGTCTCCAAATGTATTGCTTTAGTGTGTATATATACACATATGTATATAGTGTATTTAACATATATATAGTATGTATAAAATACGTATTAAAAATGACTCTGTCACCTACTATGTGTGTATGCATTTCAATAGCTTATAGCTGTTACAGGTTATGCCAAAGGTAGAAATACAAAGTTTGATGAGAAGAAAAACAGTATTCCACATATTTTGAAGCCAGTTAAAATAACATTTAGGCAAACCAAGATATTTCTATTATAAATTATTTTCTAGATGATTGTGATTTTTATGGTTAATGATTATAGCTAAATTAATTGTCTTTACAGTAGTACAGAATTTAATACCTTATGGTTGGTGTAGTAATAAAATATATTTTAAGTGATATTCAGGACTTACCACCTCCTCCTCCAAGAAGACTGGCATTTGCTATTTAAAAGAAGAAAAGACAACAATAAATAATATGTAAAAAAATAATATGCCAGCTAGTTTAAGAAAAAGCTGGTAATTATCAAGTCTCTTATAAACACACATGCATATATATACACACATATATACAATATGAACTTTCTTAAAATGTTAGCCTTTATTACTGTCTTATGATGGCATGAAAATGAAAATATTTCACCATCTTTTTTCTCTTCAAATTACTATTTTTATAATGTACTTCCTAATAAAATCAAATAGATATTGTGACCCTTTTGTTTTCCATTCTGTATCTAAATTAATCTTCCAGATTCTCCATTTTATCAAGTAGAGATAGAACAATGTTACTTATACAATTTCAGTGAGTCCTTAGGATGATGTAACAAGCAAGCACAATGATAATTTTAATTAAACACCATCAAATAAAGCTATCTCAAGATACTTTGCTATAAGAACACTTAATAGTAACAGATTTATCACTTTCAGCATTAACTTTTTATTTGAAGCATTTTAGGCATTTTTGGACAACAATGCTGTGCCATTTTTTACCCAGTTGTACATTATTCTAACACACATATAATACAGGCTAAATAGTAAGCAAAATATGAATCATCCATTCCTCTTTCAAGAGGTCAAATTTTCAGAAAGTTTGGTTGCAAATCTCTGCTGAAGTATTAAGCAACCTTATGCCTATGTTGACCTACTCACATTATAACAGCCAGAAAACAGAAGTGAACACTGCATTGAGCTTTATTCCACAGAGTTCTTATGTAACATAGGCATTACAGCATGTCATCATAACAGAAGAAATTCTTCAGCAAAATAAATAAAGTATATGGCAAACAGAGTTCCTTTCTGTAGGGAGAAACCTGAGCTACCAAAATATTAGAGAAATCATTTAGAAAAGATGAATAAAGGTCTTTAAATTGAATTGTAGTGTGTTGTCCACAGACCATGCACTGCCATTAATTAAGAGGAGCAAATATCAGAGTACTAATGATTCTGTCAATAAATAATGGATCATTTTCAGAACAAATGCTCATATTCATAGTCCCATGAGGTTAAATACATGACAGCTTGCTAATTATTTCACCAAAAAGACAATATCATGAAAATTCATGAAGAACAAATGTCTTTGAAGGTTTTCTCAATAAGTCAATATTAGAGCAGGAAATCTTGTTTTGTATGATCTTCCCAGGCCATCTCATTGCTCCTGCCTTCCTCTCAGTGCTTTTGTCACCACCATGGACTGAACAGCAGCACCATTCATCAACCATAAGCAAAAGCCACTACTGATGTCATAAAGTCTTCTGCCAACCTACTACCTCAGGTCCCCAAATATCTCTGGCTTCACAATGAGAAAGAGTGTAGTATTTACATAGGTGGTAGCCAGGGCTGAGTGTCCTGCCCCAGATCAAATTTTCTAATTGCTGAAGTGGTAACTTGTTGAAGGCACAGAGGAAAGATGTATTCTATTTTGATGCTATATCCCTTAGTGGATGGTGGAAATTTCATGATCAACCCATGTCCCCTAGTTAATCCAAACATTTTCTAAAATCTTAGCTACAGGCATTTATAAAACCACATGGCACTTCACATTCCAGCTGATTTTTTATTTTTATTATATTTGACTGAGAACTATTTCTCTCTTTATAGGTTTTCCAGATCTATGAAACTCCTTTGTTATCCTCCAATTTTCACATAGTCATTCATAAAGAAATAGGTATTGCTAACAACAAGCAACAATAATACTGAATAGTAGCTTTCACTCAGATTATCATGCCAAGAAGCACAATGAACACAATACAGTCTACTTTTACCCAATGTTTTGCTCAATAAAGGTGGAGGTTGCCTGCTTTGAAAGCATAGCCCAAGGCCCATCTACTTAACCAGGCACTTGTCCAATAGGTGTGGATGATTGAGTGGGAGTAGGTGTAGGAACTGGAATTCCAGTCCTGAGGAACCATCAAGTCACTTTATGTCAGATGTGTGCTCATGTGTAGGGAAGCATATCTGGTCACATTTTAACATCAACATAGAACTGTTCTGTAAAATTGTGGCATTCTACCTACTGCACAAACACTTCTAAAATAATTTCATGTGCACTGTTATCCATGTAATAGGATCTTATTCTAAACTGTTTAAATATAGTAAAAAAATATATACTCTGATAAAGGTTTCTCTAAAGAATCCATCAAATTTAAGTCTGTTTTGTCAATTTTGATTGTCTAAAAATTAATAAAGTAAAATGTTTAGTTTATTAGCAAAAAACATTATGGCAATTTTCTTCAATAAAAGTGACATTAATGTAGGTAAGTAAAAGTGAACATTTATTATAATTTCTAATATTACTTTACCTTCACAAAGCACCCTATACATTATAACTTGTTCTCAACATTTATTGGTCAGATGGATTAATATTATCTCTTTCACTTTGCAAAAGTGAAAGTGACTTTTGTTTGTTTAAAATTAATAGTCATTTCACTTCTAATTAATTATCTCCAATAAACTGAGAGATATCCCAATTAAATAGTATGCCCCTACAGACAAGGTCTGTTAAACTTAGACCTTTAATAGTTTGGCCTGTATCTAATAAGTTCTTAATACATATTTTCTAATAGTGAAATCATTGGTAGGTTTAATTCACTTTCTTTGTTGACATATTAGAAGAATTTTTTATTGAGGTGTGTGGAAAGAACAAACTTTGGTCCTTTTTCTACCTGTAAATTCAAGGACTAATGTAAGAAACTCTTCAAGTTTATGTGGAAATACTTAGTGATTAATAATATATGAAACATATTTATACCCTTACCTAAGTCCCTTGCTAGAGGGGATTTTGGACCTGCTTCCTGCTATTCCTAGAGTTTCAGAGAAGGAAAAGGAAAAAAAGGAACAAAGAGAATTTGAAGTTTACTAGCATGATGCCACTGCTTCTAAAATAAGATTTTAAAACCTCTCCTCCAAGCATTCTTACTAACCAATACTATTTTCACTCATATTTTCCTAAGTAAAATGACCCTTCTATTACCAAAGAAGGTGGAGGAAAAAAATCAAGCTATAGTAATTGTCTCACAGGCTGAGGCAATGAGAAACTAAAATGAGCCATTATAAATTAATGGCTGTATTTTTTCCTCCCCCCCAAATTAACAACTCAGTGAGATGAAAAGTTTCACTGTTTATAAAGTGAAAACATTGAACATAAAATGGGAGAAAGGGTTACATAAGTCCAATTTCAAAGTGGCAAGTACAGAAAGTTTATTTATAATATCTTAAGCAAATGGTTAATTTCTTAAAGTTTACGAGAAATTGTTTTCTTCCATTTGAACTCAATTTTGATTTTTTTAACTAAAACTATCAAATTTCCATAGGCATAAATATTCATTTTGAAATTATCAAATCCCTGTCTCTAAAAAAGTACACAAAGTAGGAATCCTTTTCTTAGGATAACTAGCTTAAATGAAAAAATGATCATGGCAGTCGCCAATCATGTCATTATTTTATGTTTTCCTCAAAATGCAAATGGTATATTACATTACCTTCTTCCTAAACATTTCTCTTAAATGTTCCTATATGTGTGTAGCTTTTTGAAAATATAACTATAATTAAATTGTGGATTAAATCATGAAAAATAAAATTAGTATATACTATAAGTAATATTCTATTACTGGAAGTTCCAGGATGACTTACATGCTATAACATTAGAAATGCAAGACAGAGCAGATTAGATTAAAGACAGTGGTGTGAGAGGTGATACAGACCTTCTCTTAAAACCACATATAATATGAAAATATAATTTACTAATCCTGAAAAAGCAAGAGTAAAGAAGGCTGCACCACACTGAATATACCTGGAGAAAAGAGCAGACCTCACAGAACAAGGTAACATACCAAAGCTGTGACAAAGCAAGGCCTAATCCCTTCCCCAAACCCAGCTCACTGGTGGGAGGAAGAGAATCAGAGCAGGGAAGGAGTGGAGGCCTGGGACTGCTGAACACCTAGCCCTCGAGATCTGCTCTGGGAGCATGAACCTACATTGTATAGTGCTCTGGTGATTTAGTGTGGTTGGAAAGCTAAGACAGGCCGAATACCTGGAGAGACAGAGATTCCACCTGCTTGTAGAAAACAGAGATTCATATCTGGCTAATCTGGGTGGGCAGTCTGAGAGACTTCCTAAAAGTGACAGGGCTGCTAAAGGGGCAAGGGTTGCACAGACCTTATGGCTCAGGAGAAAGGACAGGTAGACAAAATTGTCCAGATACACTCTGCCCAGCAGGTTGGGAGCTTAAATGATTTTCAGGTACTCCATTCCCCTGGCTGGCTATGCAGCTCCAAGACGCGCCCCCCTCCGCCAGATATGCAGCCTTCTGTGTCTTCCTCCCAGCTAGCCAGCACCTGGCTCAGGCTTACAAACTGGCAACCCTGCCCTGATGTCAGGCCAGCCAGAGGGAAGCCCTGCCTATGACAGATACAAACACAAAGCATAGAGGCTTATGTGTTCAGCCCAGTGGTTCTGTGTGTTCAGTCCAGTGGTTCTGGCAGTGGAGACAGGCATAGCAGCCGGCAAGCAGGAAAAAGCTCTTTCCTCCCCACAAGCATCAATATCGCTACCCTGCAACTGCTGACATTGCTCCAGGGGCTGAGCAGCTCCAGAGAGTAGAGCTTCCAGACACTAGAGGGCAAAACAGACAAACTATGAAACGTCAAAGGAACCTGGTTAAAAGCAAAATTATGAATACACCTGAGAAAGATTCAAACAAAATCGACCTCATGAATATGCCTGAAAGAGATTTCAAAATAAAAATCATTAACATGCTCATGTAGGAACAGAAAAATATTCAAGAACTCAGGAACGAGTTTAGGACATAGATCCAATTGTTGAAGAATACAATGGAGGGTATTAAAAGCAGATTAGATACAGTGGAGGAGACGATAAATGAAATAGAAATGAGGCAAGGGGAATACAAAGAAGCTGAAGGAGAGAGAGAAAAAAAGATTTCTGAGAAT